GTTGCGATGGGGAGTGCTGAGCGTTGTTGTAGAACGCTGGACTCTGCTGTGGGTACAATGTAACTAATTGGGGCTATCTATAAATCACATAGAGGCATAGTAACGCTGAATGTTTCAGAAAGTCTCTTCATTTAAGAAAAATAAATGAGTGAGTTCAGTATATATTTCAACAAGATGTTCTAAAAATATTTGAACGTTGCATATTTTTTTAGAAAATACTATGTGAACTACAAATAACCCCTTTTACTTTTGTTACTCGGGAACTTATGAACATCTATTGTATATTTGCCTTAAAAAACTCTTTCATCTCCTTGCCATTAACTAGAACTAAAATTATGAAACTAAGAAATCCCTTAACTATGTTGTTTGATACATTAATTTTATTCTCTGTACTGGTAAAAATTGTAAAATTACAACTTAAGATCTAAAATTTTTCACGATTCATTTTGCTTATATAAATATGCTAAGGTTATAAATTGCTGGCTGAAACACTTAAGCATATTTTCAACACTGTTTATTTTAAAAAAATATGTTTAAAGAAAAGCTGAAAGCAAGCGCGAAGAGACACTTATCCTAGAAGCAAATAATATTAAATAAATGTTCAAAACGTTCCCGCTTAGCGAAACATAATCGCTATAATTTGCAAGCTCTATTAACCATAATATTGGATTACATGCATTTACTGTGCTCCTGCCACCACTAAGCTTTAATGGCTATGTGCAGCTTTTCATGGTTCGTTATGTACACATATACATGGGGTCGGAACTTTTTCCCTTAACTTTGTATAAATTGTATCTTACCTGCTGGGTCTGGTGGTAGCCGTTGGTTTCTGGCACCGGCGGCCAAACGACTTTCTTCTGACCTAGAAAAAAAAAATTAATGTTAATGATTAGCAATTATATCTAATGTATACAATAAGGAATTTAGATATTACTCAAAGTTGTTCGATAGTCAACATGTTCGTTCCTTATTTCTTCGTTTCACAAAGAACAAAGATAAAAATACTGGACAAGAAAAACACGTAAACTCATAATTTTCAAGATCGCAATCTGTCGTATCTATCATCAAGCGTCTAAAACCACAAGTATCTATGTTAAACATTTCTTTTATACACATTTTGAATAGTATGCTTTAAATTAGATCGAACGATACCCATTGGATCAAAGCCAAAAAGTCGACAAAAATTATAGTTTTCATAGAATTGTGAACTGAAATTATCAGCTTCGTGCGTAAGTATATTAATTTTGGAATCATTGTTGCTGACGAACTAAAGTTTAATTTGAGAGAAACTTGTTATATTAACTTTAAAGTATTAATGAAAATAACTTTCTGATATTTTAAGGCCATTTTGTACATTACGGACTTAAAAAACGGTTATTTTTGTTTTGTGCTATACTTAATTTTACTGAAACTTTGTTTTCAAGTTTATGTTTTATGTTGCTTATTTTTAAAGATGATATAAAAGCAAAATAAACTGTAAAGCTTGTGCTTAAAATAATAATGGTTACAAGTCCTAATAAAGGTAGAGAAGAATTTCGCAGTCGATAGAAGGATTTCTCGTGGGAAATCGTCCATGTGCGGTCTATTCCGGGTTTAAAGCTTACTGTTCTAAATTGTATTTTATCTGAGTAACAAGTAAAAATGCTGCATTACGTAAAAACAGGTAATATTATCTGATTTAACATTTGTAATTCGAATTGTTTTATTGTTATTACTAGCTTTCGCTAACGACTCCGTCCGCGTGGAATTAAAAAAAAATAACAAAAACTAAATAGCTTGTGTTCTTCCCGACTATCTTCTACATCTATACCAAATTTCATCAAAATCCGTTCAGCCGTTTAGGCTACAAAGTCTAACAAACATCCATCCATCTATCTAAACTTTCGCATTTATAATATTAGTATGAAGTATGATTGATTGTACTACTTTAGAATTGAATATTTGATAAATTAATGAATGAAAGCTTCAGAATGTACCTATAATAAAATTTCCTTTAGGCATTGTTTTAGACTTAAAAATACAGTACAGAAGTTATAACGGTGCACATAACAACCAGATTTTACTGAATTTTTAAGTAAATTGTCAGTCTGTGAGAACACTAGATTTTTATTTGATAAACTAAAATTTATAAAAATGTATTTTTGAAAGCTCAAGAACATTCTTCATTGGCACAAATCCACTGACTAGCATAGCATTGAAAGCAATGACAATAATGATTAAGTGTTTCATGTCTATGTTCTAAAATTGCACAATAATGTATGATAATATAAATGTGTACCTTACGACTGCTGTCGCTGGAGACGTTACGTTTAATCTGTTCAGTGTCAGGACGTCTTGTGGCCAGTTGGCTTGTGCCAGGTGTGTAGGTGCGAAAGAACCGCATATTATTTTAAGAGTTTTAAACCCCTTTTCCCCTAGCTCGACTAGCTAGGTTAGCTGTACGCGATTTGTATTTCTATATTACATCGCGCGACTGCAAACTGCTGTGGATTAGCAGTCGCACGCGGTTAAACGTTTAGTGAAAAAGTACGTTAAGAGTTACTATCGCCAACTCTTTCTTGCGTATTGGTTTGTATGATTGTATGACAACAGACCATGAATTTTGATATGTGACGTGTTTCTGTTTGAAATAGATACAGGAATATACATTAATATAAAAATACAAATTTAGTGAAGTGTCTGAATCATTCGTTTCGTTGTTCTGTTAGATTTTTTGTCTTAGATCACAAATACACTGCCACATGGGTTATGAAATAAAGTCATAATTCCTATAATCATCTCAAAAAACGTATTTTTTAAAGATTTTTATGTCGTTATTTTAATCATATTTAGTAAAAATTTTGGATGTTAATTCATACCGTAAAATCCTTTACATATTATACAATTATATTTGACGTGTTGTTGTAGGGCATGGTCACAATTATCTTAGTCATCGAATCGTCAATCATGCCAGTAAGATGATAATTAGACATAATTACCATGAAAATTGTTGGGTATTGAAAAGCTTTGTCAGTATTGCATGATTCAACTTTTAGTTTTTATTTATTACATTGAAATACAGTTTTTAAAGGTTGTTTGTTTATTGTAAAAAAGTGATAAACTTGTTACAGTTAATTCTACTTCTGTGTATAGCATATTTATTTATATTTACAAATAGTTTATTAGTGCATTTGTGTTTTTCACATCTATTTGGCTTGAGTGCAATGTGCAATTAAATACTGTTCAAAGTGCTTAAAATTAATGTTAAAATATTCTAATAAGTACATATTGTTGTTACCCACTGCAGCAGTTCCATTATACTTTTCTACGATAATTTCGATATCTATACTGATTGTGGCAAACATGATTCATGAGTAAAATTTTAAAGCGCGTCTACTTCTGCTAGATATGCGAGTGTTCGCGGTTCTGAATAGTTTAGTACGTCTGCACTTCGCATGGATAATATTAGTCGGTTGATTCATCCCGGCTAGAGATTGTGTAGCACCGAAATAGTTACAGTATGCGAAAAAAATTAGATTATTCTTAGACTTGCAGGTATTCTAAAACTAAAATAAACTGATTACCTAAGATTCTTTATTCTATGTTATATGTTTATGTATTCGTTATACTATGAAAAACAAAAATGAATTAAGCTAAATACATATGTGTATTTGTGCAATATTAAATCGTTATAATATGCATTGATTTTACACAGTAATATTTATATTTAAAATATAAAGAGAATACATTTATGTAATTAAAATTACATAACATGGCAAACTAGCAAGCGGCCACCTAAATGGCGAAGCGACCGCTGCCCATAGACATTAACAATTGCAAAAGCGTTGCCTCCTCTAAATCGACGGAGGAGAAGACGCACATAAAGAGCTTATTTCCTCTTCCTATGCGTCTTCTCCATCGTCAAATGCACTTTCTCTTCTAATCCTTTTCTTATAAGAAAAGGGTGTAACGGGAAAGGGATTAAAATTAGGCCTAAAAGGGACTAAAGATTCATTCTACAAAGATAGAAAAATACATAGTTATAAATAACGTACTACTGATATCATGATATTAGATGCTGAATTAAAACTAACGATTAAAACTATTTTAGATTGTAATTTGTAAACAAGTAGCGTTATTCCATCAAATCCTTGCAATTGCGTTGACCTATATAGCAACATCTAAATGTAACGTTGTTAGTTTATTCACAGACATCCTTCACGTGGTTGTTACACTAAGAGTGTCCGCATTTCTTTGATTGAACTGTCGCACAACTGTTTTATCACGATTTGATCCTATGAGCTTATATGGAGGTACGCACACTACTCAGTTTTTAGTTATGCAACTAAATTATTCAATGGGCTGCGAAACAATCGACAACCGACTATCGCACAACTGTTGTGCAATTCTATTCATACCGTGGAGTTCAAAACCTATTCCTAGAAAATAACAGCTCAGATAGCTTCAAAATGACGTCATTGTCAGATAAGGGAACAGAATCCGATATTTCTATCGCATATTTTACAGATTGGATTGATATCAGACAATTTAAAATTTGGTGGGACAGGCCCTTAGATTTCCTATAAAGTCACAGCTAAAGAATTCTTAAAATATTTATTGAATCTTTATTTGCTCACGTTTAATTGGTAAATATCCACTTAGACCTAAAATATATACGTATCACTGGCAATCATTAACGTTTGCCAAAAACTTACACTAATGAGCGATTTGTCCCATCTGGTCATGACAACAATGACACATGATATAAGAATTTACTAATATTTTGTAACATTTACACGTAAAACTCGTTACACTCAAGACCAAGAAAAACATATAATGAGTCATGTAAATCCCAGACGGCGATGTTGAACTAGTGTGTACTGTCTTCGAATTAAAATTCATCTACATGTGGAATTTGGAATTGTGAGTACAGTCAGATGCACAAATATGCATTTACAAAATCATAGAAACTTGTATAGGCGTTCGGTTTTAAAGACATTTAACATACAATATCACCAATAGCACAAATTCGTCGTCTGAGGCATACAGATGTATTCATACAATGATAATTTTATAACCAAAGGCATATATGCAAGTCTCCGTAGTTTTATACTTATGCAGCCGACTGTACTAACTACTTCGATAGTATGATAATCTACATCTACCGGATCCCATTCCAGTACCTTTGGTAGCCTTCAAGAAATCAGAATAAATGTGACCGGTGGTATCAAGTAAGTGCCATCCCCGTCGGACCGAGTCCTCCTTGCGCGGTGGCCAAGAGCTGTCAAAACGACGGCGTGCGAGGACCAAATTGTCCATAATCGCTTGGATTTGCGTCGGGTCTAACTCTGGCGAAGCAATGCAAGTTACGCGTTAGTAAAGCTTTATATATCTGTAGAATTTGCAAAAAACTAGAACCAATGTGTCATCCGGATTCGTGGATTCGAATCATTATATTTTCGTCAACCAAATCAGTATTATGCTTATTGGACATCGCAAGCTTATTTGCTGCAGTTGCTGCTGAATACAAGGTTAGTAAATTATTTACAGCTTGCAATTATTTTTGACAAATAAAATAGTTCATTTTGATTTCAGTTACTATGTCAATACCCATATAATTAAGATTATTAACTTACTAGGAAGTCCCTTGCGGTTGCGCTCTTCTTCCTCAAGCATGCGCAGAACGGCCGAGTTGGCGAGGTTGGCTGGCTTATTGGCGCCTGGATTGTTGAAGTCGATCCTGTAACAAAATCATTAAACTTAACCAAATATTCTTTAGATTAAAACAATTGCAGTATCGATATTATAATATTAATAATTTTTTAAATGACAGGTGTGCGAGATTTTTTATCTTTAATTAATCACGCGGAAAATAATCAAATGTTTTCTTGTTTATATTTAATATCAACAAGAAAATAACTTATTACATAATTTAACAAGTAACTTTAAATGTTGTATAACATTATTATGTGTTACTTGACGCCTTATAAGTTAACGTTAACCTCAATAATCCTTCTTTGGCAAGTTATCGTGACTCAATGTGAAACAACAAGTTCTCTATTAAATCTCGAAGGTAAACAATATAAAAACTTGTACTAAGTTAGCAAAATTATACATTACAAAGACAACTATAAAGCTTTAGATTTACGGTTGCTTTTCATTTGTCATTAGCAGTCGAAATCTAATTTCTTTAAAGTTCAACCGCGTATTTATAATCTGACAACATTGGCACGTATTGACAGTAACATTTGCTCTTTCTGTCAATCAGTTGTCATTAGTCACTATTTCTACGAAGAATTATTTGAGAGTCTTCAATCTAGAGACCATTCATTAATACAATCAATATTTTGTATAACATCTCATTAAGAATTTTATTATTTATTTATTACATGTTAACATTCTTTTAGAAAAATAAATCGCGTCCATTGCTTGAACTTTGACTAAGTTAGTAATTTCAGAAAATGTTTCTACTCTTTCAACTACTTATTTTAAAAATGTTTTGTAGAAATATTGCCTTCCTAAATATCCTCAATTTTAGCTATTACATATTTGTAAGGGAAACAATGGTTAAATGAAATGTAAGTGAAAGTTGTGGGTGCTTTCTTGTATAGTCTGTTGGTGCGAGCTATGATCAATTATGTACCGGTTTGCCGATACTATCAAATGCTATCACAACCTTCGGCGATGTGAAGCCAAGTGTAATGTGTATAAGAAATTATAATCGATACCCGATTATATGCCGTTGTGTTTATCCGGTACCATACTATGTTACCGACGAATTGTTAAAACCGGTATTGAATAAAATGTCTGGATTTTAAATACAAAACCTTATTTGGATGTTTGTTAGATGGTATCTTCGGAAGCATGTAATAGATCTCGCTATAATTTGGTACAGATCTACAACATAATCTGTACTAAGACTAAGTAGTATTGATGAGTACCAAGAATTGTGGGAAAAGTTAATGTACATATATTATTTTATTTTATTGAAATTTTACACACACCACAATTTACAAATATAGACAAATATGACATAGTATTGTATCAGATATTCAATTTTACTTCCATAAGTAGAATTGCTATAGAATTGCCAAAAATATATAACCAAAATAATAGCGCGAAATAATAAATTGAGTACTGTTTAGGCAATCGAGACATCGCTGTACATACTTAATTCTCAGACTTAGACTAAACTATTGTTAAATCAATGTTACAATAAAAAGTAGAAAGTGATGTAAACTTACTCATTGTTTTCATCGACAATCTCCATTTTCCTCGACGTGAACAGACAACAATGTATATTTTTTTTATTTACACTTCGTACGTAATGACAAACTTTTAAAGTATTTTTAAATGTAACGCATGCGTTTTTGATCATGTGCCAGTTATATTCTAAGAACTTTTATTGCCTGTGATTAATTATTTTAATGACTTATTCCTGAATCATTAAAATACAATGGCGTCATTAATATTATAATTTTAATGATTGCATTTAAAATATATAATTCAAATGAGACATTTTCATTATCAATTTGTCTCTTTGATTCAGTTATTTCAACAATATGCGTCGTGCGATCGATTGAAAAGCTAATAAAAAGTTCTGAGGAAAGAAAAATTGGAACGCGCAAGCAAATTGTTTTTCAAGAAAAACGGCACATCAAGTCTTACAAATAAATTGTTTTTCTTTAATCTATTTTTATTAACAGTTTTAAAACGTGAATGAAAATTTGTGTGAAAACAAAACAACTATTTTTCACTAACACTATAATTTTTAAGTGAATATAACCTCGATAGTCTAAACTAAGCACTTTCGCTTTTAATTAATCAACTACCTTTAATTATAATTAACGTCATATTAGAAAATGTTGTAAATTTGGTAAGCGCACAGCCTGCGCTCGCGCCGCGGTAACACTGTGGCCGTCGCGGGTTGCCCGAGCTAGATTTCTGTAGACGCCTATACCTGTTTGACAGTTTGCATGTCACAGTCGTCGGAAGACAGAATTCATAATTATTATGCATGGAATATTTCACATATTAAGGTTACTTTTGTAAAAGATTTTTTTATTTACCATCTTTAACATGGACAGTGAAAAAAAGAGCACATTTAAAACATTTTGATACTTTATAATACATTTATTAAACAAGTACTGAAACTGTTTGGTCTATAAACTATATAACTTGTTTCTCATTCAAGTTATGAATTCTGTATTTAAGTTTCAATCTATCCATATCTATATATAATAAAATTAGAGTTTCTGTTTGTAATATGAACAGAAAAATTCCAGATTTCGGGAAGACGATGTATTTGCGATGCTGATGACGAAAATCTCATTTAAAAATTTTTTTGTCTGTCTAAGTTTTGGCGTGCATAAATGTGCGTGCATAAAGCAATTTCCATAATACTTCAATACATATATTAATTAATGTTTGCAGTCAGTTGGGTATGCGTGCGATGTGGCGCGGTGCTAAATTTTGTGCATGCAAAATGTCAGCAGCCGGTGAGATACTGTCTCTATAATTATGACGGTAGACAAAAATAAACTTCAAAGATACATTGTTGACATGATTATAAAATAAAAAATTCTAACACTTAATAAACAAAAAAGTAAAATTATGAGGGAAGGCTTTTTGAAAGCAAAACAAAAATAGTTAGGTTAAAAAATGTAAACTTACTACGAATTTATATGGACTTAGTATTCACTAACAAGATGGTAGCACTCACTCTGTTTCACAAATACTGAGGCAGTCCGTGCATAGCTTTACGTCTCGAGTGCTGCGTCACGCTTTGCGATTGCATTTTGTTTTTTACAGTCGTCATTTTGGCTTGCACCCCACCACCGAAGATAGCTTCAATAATTTATCGCGTGTTTAATTTGTACTTAGTGAGATCATTGTTTATCTCACCACAATCAATCAATCTATTTTAATCATAAATTTATTATAAACAACTGTGAATTGACTACTTCATTATTAGGCGATTTTCTTTTGACTTCACAGATATTAAATAAAAAAAATCCGTTGACTACTGACGTCATAATTATGTTTGCAACATTGTCAATTGTCAAAAAAGGTTGTGTTGTGTAGAAATGCAAATGAATTTATGAGACTTTGTATTTTAGTTACGTCGAATTTAACCTGATAAAAATTAACGGCAAATTTTAGAGAATCTGTGCAACAAAACGAAAAATAATATCGAAGTGTATAAGATAAAAGAGAAACATCTACAGGCTCGGGCGGTGTTCTGAGGTGAATATTTCCCCTTCATTAGATTTTTCCTTAAAGAATTTACATTTCTTTACCTTTTGAGTTTTTATGTTCTTTAGTATAGTGTATCCATGTTCTTTTTAAACATGCGGAGTTAATCTACTGAGTAAGTAAACCCTGACGAGTTTATCACAGCAATAGTGTTTAAAATAAACATTTGTAATAATTTACATCAGGTGAAACGTCTTTGAGTCGTTGGGAGAATATTAGTAATTTATAATTAAGGTTTAATCTTCTATTGGTAGTTATAATTACATTGAATTATGACATATCATTATACGCTGTCTCTTCTTTTTTTTAAAAGAAATGAAAAAGACGACAATCTCGATAAACATAGAATACCGTACTCAAATGATGCTTATACATACACCGAGCATAGAAACATTATTAACGTTCATTGATTTATGTTAATTCTAATTGCAATTCATCCACTGAAATTGATCAGATATTATCCAATTACCATATAATCAAAGCAATGCTTTGAAAGCTATGTAATAATACAAGACGAGGGTTCTGAATACACTGAAGTTATGCCCTAAAGCAAACTTAATACAATACGAGAATCTAATCGTTAAAGTTTGACATTCATTTGTATCAAAACTCTCCTTTGAATGTTATTTAGTAAGCGATATAAATTAATGTAATACTCTCCGTACCATGAATTTTTTACAGAATTTTTTAAAACTATTTATCAAATGTAGTGTTTCAGACAAGCAGTTATTGGTCGTTTCTGATGTAGAATTGATATGCTGCCAAACTTTCCTTGCAACGAATTTTTGTACAATCTGAAATATCGATGCTGCATTTATATAGCTCTCAAAAATGCTAGAAAGCGAAATAAGCTCGCAACATTTCTTATCACGATTGTTGTAGGCAGATATGAATAGGCAAAATGTGTGGAAGATATTTTAAATTTCATTTTCAATCTGTTTGGAAATAGTTTTTTTATTTCTATATTTTATCATGTACGATAAGTCTGTTTGACGGAACTGATGATGTGTACTTTGAGATCTTAAATCCGAAGATCATTTTGTATCGATCCTTGATACTTGGGACATAGAACACCCTTCTACTGATGGTCTGTTGATGACAGAAATCAGTTTGTTATGTGAGAATTGAGTACGTACCCTACTGTGCCATTGTCAAGGTTCTGCAGGTGTTTGTTGAGGGTCTCTTGTATGTTCTGCTGCGAGTACAGCCCGATTGGCGAGTTGAACTGCTTGTGCACTATCTTAGGGCCGGTGGCCATCTTGGAGTCGTTCGTTCGGCGCTGGAACACGAAAGTAATAGTTTCACGTTAAGTTTTGTATATAGCTTTAAAATGTACTAAATAGCTCTTAAACGCAAAACATGATTTCGTCACTTTCTAATTCACTATTCTTTCGCCACGCAGTGGACAAAGCGAAGTTTGGTGCCAATTTTTTGTAATCACAGAGAATTTAAAAATGTAACAACTTCATAATTTACCTACGCTACAAATCGGTATTAAAATTCAAGAATACTTAACCTCTCTTATAAATTTTGTTACAAAATTACAATTCGCGATACTCTCCCAGAATATTCAATAGAATAATTAATTCTAAAAACGTAACAGGCTAACACCGGTGCTCTAAAGATTAGATTGTCAATTTTTATCCTCCTCATGAGGTAATTTTATTACAGCGTCGCGAGATTCGTGGGCCGGGGGTTAGAGGAAAGCTCGGCGTATTATTGCAATTTTATTAGCCCGGCACCAACGACGACGGCTATAATATTTTGCCCTGAATGTCCCGGCGACAGGTAGCTTTGTACAAATAAGTTTTCAATATTAGCATCCGAAGAGACGCGATGGTAAATTATTGAAAAATTAATGTTTTGAAGGACTCATGAAAAGTAATAAGACATTCCAGAGACAAAAATGTTTATTCTTAATTTATAATTTGATTTTTTTTGATACGATAACCTCAATATTATGTTTCTGCATTGTTGATGTTATTACACAGTCTCCTAGTTGAAATATTTCGAGACGAGTGTAGCTTTTGCATTCGGTTAGATTGAGAATAAATGAGGTGTCAATGACGTATATGCAAGCTGTATCGGTTTGAGATAGGAACGTTGTGTTGTGTGAATAACGAGCAATTTATTCGGCGGCGCGGAAATTGATACAAAATCTATTTGTGTGAGAGTCGGTACTCGCAAAATGTAGGCGGAAGGCGTCTGAGGATCGTCGCTCTAGAATTAGACGGCCGTGTGCTGCATTGTGAAAGCGAATGTTTATCTGCTTTTTAATTACATACTTTCAATGAAATTCCAAGGTGTTTGAGGCAATTTAAAACGAATTTAGGTAAACGATCTGTTTAGTAAAATTATATGAGCTATGTCTTTGTGCGAATATTGTATAGATTCTACTCTATCTTTGCTTTCAATATTAATGGCCTTTATAGATATTAGTTTTTGATTATATTTGATTTATGATTATCGTGTAGTTAACCACAGATTTTTGTAACAATAAAATAAGATTTATCATTGTTCATTCGTTGTTTAATCGTTGAGTTGTTTTGAAAATGTTAGAAGCTACTTTATGATCTTGCAGAAAATGTTTTAGGTTCTTCACTTATTTAAAATGTGATCGTGAGTGGAATGTTAAATGGAAAATTTAAATAAGAGTTCCGACTCCTGTAGTCTCAATGTTTTTTGTATGCATACAATTCTGTCGGGTAACGTTTATAACAGAAGCAGCGTGGGAGTTCTTAAAAACTTGCCAGTGGCTCTGTTCAAAAGATAAGATATTTAGAGAAGGCAATGAAAATAATCTCCGGGCATAAATATTTTGAAGGTCGTAGGAATTTCGTGTTTTCAAATAAATTCTTCACATGTATCGTTTTAAGATTTAATTAAATAGTAATGGTTTTTTTTTCCTGTCATTTTATAAACAAAACATACAATATTGAAAACATGTAGTATAGTCTTTTTAATTTAAAATTATCTGATTCTTGCATTGTTTGGCATTGACAATTATAAGCAACACGTGAAAATACATGCATAGTGCGTTAATATTACAAGGGTAAATGTGATGTAAAAATATTTTCCAGACTTTTGAGGCAGATAAAGATGTTTTTAAACTAACAAGGTTAACAATACCGTCATCAAGGTTCGAAATAAATCTGTCGTCTAAGCGGACGATATAAATAGTTTCAGATATTTTAAAGCGCATCTATCCGCGCGGAATTGTTCTAATGTTTCATAATGGATCAATTAGCGACGAGTACATTGGTTAGATTGTTTTATCTTGAATGTCTTTCTAATGAAATCACCATCAAGCAACCGTTGGGTTACCGCTTACGCGTCCGCGAAAACGAAGACGCGTCCAATCTATTTCAGTAACATGAAGTCATGGCGAATTATTTCTGTAACCGTACACCTATGCAGTTAGTTACGACGGTCAGGTGAGAAGCGAATAAAAATACGTAATGTATAGAAGCGTTTTATTAGTGCTTATGTTACGTGAAGCTTAGATTTAGTTTGTTATGAGTACCTTGGGCGGCGGTCAGGTTCGTGCGAGCGGCGTGGATGCCGGCCTCTTACTGAGCGGGAGGAAAAGCGGGCGCCCACGCGCAAGCTCTCGCCTCACCTGTAATGTTTCACTGATTATGAAAAACTTTACTCACATTACTAATATATTCGTTTTATAATTCACTTGTAATCACATATGAATATACATTGATGATATTCTCAAAATTAGCACAAGTCACATTTTCATTACCAGAACGTATTTACAAAAACAGTTTTCAGTTTTCCCGGAACACTGGATACCAAAGGTTATTTGTTTACCTTGAGCTATATTTTTAGTTGAAATATTTAGTTGTACGTCTGTAAATAAGTTACCTGGTAATAACACTGACAATGCGGACCTTAAACTTAAACGACCGTGCACTGATAGTACTGAAGTGCGACAGACAGTCTCTGCCTTCGGCTTCCAGTCTACGAATGAGGGCGCACTGATCGCATAGTCATGAATTTTATAACTTCAACTATTTTTAAATGTACGCTGCGAATATGGTGAATATAAATTATAAGCGAGTACATCTGATATTATCTGTCCTGCAGGCAAAAGGCACTCGTTTTCGTTTTGATAAGGTTGTTGATCTCGCAGCTCCGCGCGTTATTTCCGGCAAAGAAATGGAGCACATTTTCCACGCTTACGTCTTCATCCAGTACTGTTATTGATCGACTTCCTCAATTATAATATAAACCAAACAAACACATTTTGTTTGCACTTTCAGTTTGTTGTACTGCATTAGTTATGTTGTAATTTAGATCTTTACGAAGAGGTTGAAAAAAAATTGAACAACAGTTTTGTACTAAGATAAGGATAAATAAATATTATACTGACTATAACATTTAAATTGGTAGAACACATTATCAATGGATTACAAATAACGATATTTCATCAGTTTCATTTCCTCCCATTCTTATTTCAGTAACATTACTTGTACCAAAACAACGATGTTTGTTTAGTACAGGTATAGAGATGCGTGTTTAAAAACAAATGAATCTTGTTTTATTTTTATCCGCCCAAGTACAGCCAAACAGGTGCGCAATGATGTTACTATGAACTCGCGTGTGGGACGTTAACAAAGAGCTACGAACTGATGCAGCACAGGGTAAAAGTGAAATTACTAATCCTAAATAACTAACATAGTTACTTATTATTTTGATATAAATATGGTCAACTCTCTCGAAACAATGATAAGACTGATTTTCTTTAATTCCTGGTAACATTCAGTTGTACATATTGCGCTGTTCAGGTTTAGAGAAAAACTTTAAAATTTATGTAAACGTTCAATTTTGTAAAATAGACGTCATCAACAAGGGAATTACAACTAACTCTCATTGTCATAATAATTTTTTGCCTTCTCTTCATAGAGAGTATAAAGTGTCTACGTATAAAGTGTTCGTAGCTCTATGTTTTCTGGTGGATGAATGCGTTCTCTCGGAGGGCTCCGAGCATCAGGGCTTATGAATCACCCCGACTGCCGGCTGCAGACATTAATCGTTTGACATTGCGTCTATAAAAATACATTCATTGTCTCATTTTCGTACTCATTTTCAAGGCTAATTGAATCATAAAGCGTAATTAAACAACGATATACATAATTATTGAATGTTTGTTGGTAATTTGTGTAATATATCTGTAACTTTAGCTTCAGAAGGAAAGTTTTAAAATAATCTTTTAATGTCGTTCTTATATCCTTGAATTTTTTTTTTGTTAATTTCGTAGTAATATTCATAAAGCATGGTATATTTCTTACATGTTAACAGTTATAGTAAAGAATAATAGTGCAATATTATTTCAAAACAATAATAATTCAATAGTAATTATTTAATAAAGTATTGTATTAGCATTTCCGAATAGGGCATTTGTAAGACGTTCCAGAATGTTTGCGGCATGTGCTCGTGACATTATGACAAGTACAATATCTTGCAGGCGAGCATAATCACGAGACTATGCATTTCATAGCTTCGATTTCATACAAATGTCCCTATTAAATAGGGTTGCCTGTCGCAAACATTAACTATATTTACTAGATTAACATTTCAAGAACGACCTTAACTAATTGTTGAAAACGACAATTTTTAAATATAGCTTTGCAAAAGTGCAGCTAAAAATACGACTGCATTTTTAACGATAGTACTGCGTAAAAATGTAGTTAAAACCATGTTTTTGTCATATTTCGTTATTACATTAAAAATGAGTTTTTAATATGAAACTATGGGCGTCACAGCCATGTTATGCTTTAATAAAATATAGTCTTCATTACCTCTTATGTTTTCTTCCAATTTGCACAGAATACCTTACCAATATGGCCGTCGTCTCGTCGAGCTAATGCAACACCCTTATTTTTGACATCCGACTACTATTCGATTATTAACATAACAAGCACAATTACGACATTTTAAAACCATGACATAAATATTTTAAATAATATTTTGGATCACCATTACAAAGTTATATCGTTATTTCAAACTATGACCAATGGCATTGATTTATAGCACAGACTAAATAACCTTCAAGAATACAGATTACATCAAAATAGTTAAAAAGCTAACAAAACGGAAAACTTTAACGGTATTTTGAACCTTTTAAGTTTTTACTGATAGAAGTATCAAAGCGAGCGGATAATTTAAAAGAAACATAAACAAGAGATCAAAGAAATGTTATCTCAACTTAGACAAAGTTATCGGGGCTTTAATAAAAACATTTGTTTAAACATACAACATTTGCGGATTCTCTGAATTTGACGACCAATCGTTTTTGAAGATAAATATTTTTGTAAAGGAATAATAGGTAATAGAATTTAAAAATCATGTATTTCAGAGATTAATATTAACTACCTACTAACGATACCGGTAAGCCGTTAAAAACCACTATGTTTCATAAAAAATTTAAATTGAAATTAATACTCCAGTGTAAATTACGATAGACTAGCTTTTGCCCGCGACTCCGCTCGGGGAATTAAAAAAACAAAAGTAAGTACCCTATGTGGTCTTCCAGATTATGTTCTACATCTATGTCAAGTTTCATCCAGATCCGTTCAGCCGTTAAGGCTACAAACTCTAACAAACATCCATCTAAACTTTCGCATTTATAATATTACTAGCTTTCGCTTGCGACTCCGTTTGCGTGGGATTAAAAAAAAAACAAAAGTGAGTAGCCTATGTGTTCTTCCAGACTATCCTCTACATCTTTACAAAATTTCATCTAAATCCGTTTAGTTGTTTAGGCTGCAAACTCTAACAAACATCCATCTATCTATCCATCCATCCATCTAAACTTTCGCATTTATAATATTAGTATGATTTAATTTAAAATTAACATACTCAAGACCTGCTGTAGGTTTAAGCGAAGGAGCAAATTCATTGTTGAAATGAATTAATGATGTTGAATATTAAATTACATGATTATTCAGAAATGTTAACATTGTAGAAATGAAAAGCTGCATAGAATTTACATTTCGTATATTTATTTAAACTTGTGAATAAGGAAGCTTAAATAACAACTGTTACGGTAAAAAATAGTTCTAACAATGAGTTGCCTTAACAGGGAAAGAATAACATTTTCATAAAACCTCGCTGCTAAAAACAATACGCAGTAGCCGCTCCTTTGTATGTAGTTTTTTTAAATTAACGGAGAATTCATACTGTATAAGATTTCCGTCTTAATTTCGAATTGTAGAATTATTTTTTACAGTTTTTAGTTTGTGATTTTAAATATTAACTTTTCTTTTCACTGCGGAAGCACCTATTTGAAAACAAATTCTCATCTTTTTATTATGTAGTTATTTACTATAAGTATTTATGGAGGCAGAGGAATCCGACTCGATGGTTAGGTTATTATGACGTTGCAATTTCAAACTATACATTTTCTTTAATAATTATTTCATACTAATATTAAAAATGCAAAATTTTAGATTAGTTTGATAGGGTTCGTAGCCGAAACGGCTGTACAGACCTCAATGAATATTAGGATAGATGTAGGCGGTAGTCTACGAGAACACATACTTACTTTTTTTTTAATTCCATGCGGACGGAGTCTTAGGAAAGTTAGTTTAGTATTCATTGGATGCATAACCAAACTCTGATGCTGGATTATGGTTACCTTTCGGATAAAGATACGAATATTACTCCTGTTGTCTTATGCTAAAATTATTCAATGTTCGGGACTATTGCAGTTGTTTTCTCAGTATTTACTTCATTTAATTAATAGTGTGGCACAGAGTGAGGGAATTTGTTTTAAATAAAACGCACTGTACGTAGATGTATTTATTTATCTCAACTCATCAATTGCACTATAGTATCTATACAAAATTCAACACAAATTGACTACACTTATAACATTAATAAATTTATGATCTGTTGTACAAATAGAATCTTGCTATATAAATATTTCTTCATTAGAGAAGTTATATTGCGCTACGATTTTTCAGAATAGTTTTATGTTGATTAACATGATAGGAAGTTAACGGAATAAGAAATTGGAATACATCATAAAAACTGGAAAGGTTTTACATTTACCCAGCTCATGAAATGTAAAACTCTTCAGGTTTCTAAATGAAATTATGAGATCACATTTATCACGTAATTAACAAAGTAAGTAAGAAATATAGTAGTAATAGTAACTGCGAAAAAGGCAAAAAAAAACGAACAAACATTATAACCTTTAAGATTTTTGAAAACTTTTATATATTACGAGTTAAAATTGATATAATCTGTGATGTTAACATCATAGATATATTATGTATACATTTAGCTTTTATAATATATTAGTTAAACACTTAAAGATTTTTTAAATTTGACACAGCATGTATAGCGGGCATTGCTTGCCAAACAGACTGGCGACATTTAGTATGGAGCGGTGAGATGCGGGAATTGTTTAGTTAGTAGAATCGATACGTTCACTGTTGTCTGTCGTCTTCTACGGAGCCGTTGGCTTTCACCTCCTTAGGCAGAGTCGACTGAAACAAAAAGTTTAAAAAAAAATTAACCAATATTTCTCAAATATTACTTTTAAAAATTTAAGCGCGATAGCCAAAATCATTTCCAATTTAGATGAAACATGTATAGTTACATCAATTTAACAAGTTACTTAAAAGTATGAGGGATACATTGTTACAGTGTTTCTGTTTGTTAAAATATACTAGTACACACCTCTAGGGGTAGCAAGAACATATTGTTGTCGGAGCGGCGACCGAAACGAAGACGCATAGAGGGGGCTCGCACTGCACGGTCTTGTTCCTACACACATATCAAACAAAATAAATTATAGATATCAAGTAAAAGCTCGTTATTACGTCATTAATTCAAACGAAATATACGTTATGGTGACCAAAATGGTAGACTGATCAGTTGGGACTCCATATAACTGCCTAAAATATACAAACTTTTACCTTCACTTTAAACCATGAAAACACACATTCAATATATCGATCTAATTTAATATAGAAACAAAGTTGTAGTAAGAAGGGATGTTTGTTTGTCGTAAAACAGTACGATCGTCGTAACAAGGCTTAGGCAATAGTGCCTTGTTAGTGCAGGTTTCATTTCACGACTTTACATTATATTATTACTAGCTACATACATCAACACGTAAACATTACAAGAGTATGGCCACGAAGCAATCGACTACAGTGAGATCCAGATCAATATATAGTGGAATTGATTAGTTCACATAATTTTTTTTTACTCATTAATAAAATGACATGGATTTAAACTTTCTGACGGCACACATTTTGTTACTCTTCACATAACACAATTTAAAGCCTTGGCGGTACATTGTTATGCAAACTTTTCTCTCCACATAGTGAGCTACTCTAGGCTTTTGTAGCTTTGAAGTTTGAATGAGGTAATATATTAATACTAGTGTTGTTATTTGTATTACCAATACCTCCTGGGGGAAGATGTGAGGCACTGCGTGCTCCTCGGAACGGCGGCCGAAACGTAGGCGGACAGTCGGAGTGCGTACCTCACGCATCACTAGGTCTTCCATCTCGTCCAACTAACACGAACATTAAAAATGAATTAAACATAGTAAGATATCCTTGTTTCTTAATGAAATGGTTTTATAAATAAACCTTTAATGATAAATAAAGGAGCAAAGCTCCTATGTTAGGATACCGCTGAGAATCTCACGCGTCATGTAATGACGTAATTGAGAGATTTACGTAAAACAGAGTATAAGAAGGTTCTTTATCGCAGTTATCAGCGCGGAGGGAGACATACTCTTGTGCGTTGAGCGCCCTATTTTTAACAATCCCGTTTTGTGAATAAGGAAATACTTCGAGGAAATCGTTTTCAAAGTCATCTTGATGGGTGTATTCTTTAACTGAGTTTTGGATACCATACTCGTATATCGAGTTTAAAAGACAATTTTAAGGCTTTTCGTTATAGTTATTCTAAATAGTAATAATATTACCGGGGTTATTAATATAATAATAGTATAGTAGTAATATTACCGGGGCCTGTGCGGGCATGTCAGGGTCGGAGCGGCGGCCGAAGCGCAGACGGCGCGAAGGCGAGCGCACAGACTTGCGGGCCAGTGCGTGGCCATCGAGTGCATCGTGCTGCGCCAGGAGCGCGTACAGCCCACCCAGCGCCTCCCAGCCCTGGCCCTCGCCCACCGCACCTGTACACAATCGTTTATATAAAATATTTAAAGATATCACGAAATTGTCAATCGTATTAACAATAATTTGAGTATAAAAATGACTGGCAAAGACTCTAGCGTTCTTCATTTCTTTCATTACTTTGCGTTGACTGTATAAGACCCGTTACAGGTTATCTGAATGGAATTTTTAATAATTCTTGCTTGTAATTATTAGTTTCAGTGAGAATACCAAGAAAATTGTCTACATTTATATTGCATTTTCTTTCACAGATACAAGTCAAAACAAACTATGGAAGAGAAGTAAAGCAGCGATGCGTATTGTCTGCCGTTGACGTGATGAGTGGCATTACCTAACTACACTGTTGCTCACTAACAACTTCAGAACAGCCTGACAAAGTTCGTAAGTAAAATTTACATTGTACACAGTTTTGTGTTCAAAGTTCTTTGAATTCCTCGTAATGAGCAACTTTTTTGTAGTTGCTATACAAAATAAATTGCTTAGTACATATAAGTGTGTGTTTATTTGATGCTTTAATGTTAAATAATGCCAATTTTAAATAAGCTTATTACTTACACCTTTATGTTGGTAAAGTATAAAGTGTGCAACTTACGTTCTGCATAATACCGTAACAGTTTTACTCGCAGCTTAGCACAGATTGCACGATGAACTTTTATAAAGTATTTAAGCTACTTTAATGTTGAGATATTACTGAGTAAAAAACCCATTATTTCTAAGTGAAATAAAATCGAAATGATCAGAATGACCAGATATCAATAAAATTTTAAACACCATTTAATAGTGGCAGTATAACAAAAGTTATTTCCTTCTACTATTTATATTAGTGCATAGTTTTTGCAACATTGTTGTGGCTAGACTTGTATTGTAATAACAGAAACTTTGTTGTGACTGAGCGCTAGTTCCACGCACGCTAAGTCGATACTCAAGTTGTAAATGTTAAGCGACAGGAAAGTTGTGTGTTGCTAGAACTTTGCACTTTATTAGTGCTTCGACGAACTTTCTTATTGATCCAGATACTGATCTTTGATATGACATTGTTATTATGATACTATTGCATGTATTGTATTATTTAATTATTACAAACACTACTTTTTCATATTAACTGTCAAGGGTTGGATTTCTTTTTCTGTACTTTTTTAACATTTTTAGTTATCGTTTTTATGCGCCTTATACAAAATATTAGCAATGATTTCGAAATTCTGTCAATGCTAATCATTGCCGATTTTTAAAGAATAGTGGTGATATAAACAAAAAAAACAAACTACTACATAGTTGATCTTTTACAGAATTTGTACTAATATTTTGCTTATACTCAGTTTATGCCTAAGTTTAACTTTAAACCGCGTTTATTTGTAAGGGTGTTTTTTTTATATATAATGATTATTACAAGCTGCGATCCATGGATGAATGTTGATATTATAATTTATTGTAACTTTGATTCTTTGAGTCACAGCAGTAAGATTGTCCGCGCTTCCACCGGCGAGGGGCACAAAATATCTCCCTTGCTAACAATAAGTCACGTATTTCATTTTTAATGTTAAATACAGATATTAAGACTTTAGAGAAGTGTACTCGATTTTTAAAACGGAAAAATTAAATTAGTATCTATGTTAATTATTTCTAATACCAATACTGTATTTAAGATTATCGAAAAACATATATTTAATCAAGATTTTTAACAATAGCAAAATGTTATAACTAGTAGTAATAATAATCGACGTTAAGTTACATTTTTCGTACAACAGAGGAGGGATAAAGCATTCCAATTATTATGAAATTTATAGCTAATATATTACTATGTCGGCATTTTCATTCAGTTTAATTTATATTTTTATCATTGAGGCAATCTCGATCGTTCACGGCTGTACGCGTTTTCGTTTAAATCTTATTTCGCTTATTAAATAAGAGTTTGTAAATTTAGATATACCGCCTAAGATTATTCATAACTATTCACGAATTTTTAAATTATTTTAATTAAGAAATCCCTGAAGTTGTAGGCACTAAAACTATAAAACAAAAAGTTTTTCATGACCATTTTAGTAAAAAGTTTATATGCATAAGAAAAGTGTTCTACGTAGCTCATAAAAGGCATGACTCGTGGTCGTCTTTGAGGTTAGGTATTGTAATTTTGATCTATTTCATCGTTTAGTTTTATTTCATCTCTACTATTATGCTTTTTAATGTTTTCATATAAGTTTATTCATTAAACCATTTAGTAACTGTATTAAGATATTACATTGTCTTAAAATATTGATCGTCTTGTCTCTGTGTCGAAGTGGACTTAAATGTTAACTCTACTTAAAACAAGTCTCTTAAATATTTAATAAAGTTCCCGTTTTGAGGACAATATTTATTAAATTTTAAATTTAGTAAATTGGAAAACAATATTGTTAAAAATTAACCGTTGAAATGATTATAAGGTACTTAATTATAGGAGAAGATTAACCGATGACTTCCATTGAATCATAAACAAAAACAATGGAAGACAATAAGTTTTTACGTTAATCGTTTATCAACAATCTTGTTGACATGATCAAGAAGGGAGTGATGACTGAGATGACGGATGATAGAATGCTTTGGAGGACGAAAACCCGGTGCGCCGACCCTACGGGAGTAGGATAAGGCAGGGGAGATGATTATCAACAATCTTGTTTTATTCTGGTTATACCTTCGTACTGTGCGCTGGAGGCCGGCAGCAAGCAGAAGGCGGTCAATGCGCACAGCGCCAAAGAGATGATGCAACTGCGAGACATGACTGCAACAAACGAAAAACATTTAGTTTGTTAATAAATTTGGAGAATAATTCGCATGCTTTCGTTCTTAAATTTACGTTTGGTTTATTTAGTTTTGGTAAAATTGATATAAGAAGTAAATTAAGATAGTATTCGAGCAACAATGAAATTTAAAAAACATAAATAATAAAGAAACTGGAAAACATTTATGAATTATAGAAATTAAGTTCACATTTTAGACTTTAAAATAAAAAAAAAGTGAAATGTCATCTGAATAATGGCTCAACAAGTCGACCGCCACTAGCATTCCGCGCTTTCGTGTGCACACGGCAATAGTGACGTCATCAATCACTGTTATCAAGGGACGGTGTCAGTTCGTCGCATCACGCACTCCCCCTGCCCTCCGCGCACCCTCCCCGCGCCCTCGCGCTCACACATAAAATGTACAGGCGTTTTTATTAAAGCGCTTTTCACATGTGTAGCCGACACAATAACTGAGATTTATCACACACATTCCGTCCTAGGGATTGAGGGGCCCAATTTAGCTTATGTTGTGAGAGATAACGAATAGGAGCTTCTTTTTATTGTCAAATAAAATTTAACCTGCAGAACATATTGGGCATGAAATATACGTACTTATAATGCTGTCAGTTTCGTTGAGACGGTAATTTGTACAGGAGTGAATAATGCGGTGTATAAATATTAATACAAATACTCGGCTCCTATTCATACTACAGATGTAAATTTTTTACGTGAGTTAAAAAATATGTACCAACGCTAAAAACAAAAGACAAAAAAAAATGGAACACACTAAAAATATTTTGCAATGTAACGTTTTTAATTACGTAAACCAATTAGACAGTGCTGAAGTTGTGAAAAATCAAATTAAAATGCGTGGGGTAAAGTTCAGAAGTCATCTCTAACTCTGAGTTTAATTAGCAACTACATGCAATGCCTTTGGATCAAAACTATGCGATATCAGGAACTTACATGTGTGGGCGCTATTAACCTCAATTCTATCAAGATATATTACGTAGTAAATGAATTTTCTCATTTATTTTGAATTCGTGTGCGATTACAATTTTAATAATAACCATACCTCAATAAATAAACCAACATACTCTACATACGTAAATAAGAAAATGTCAACGCAACAAAACAAGCAGAAATTTGAAACAATATATCCCTATTGATACCCCGAAGATATTTGCGTAACGAAATGGTATTTACACATCCGTCACTCAGCAATCTATACGTTGGTATTCTACCTTGTTGTTAGTATTGTTTGAAGATAACGACAGACTGCAATTACTATTGTAATATTTTACATATCCGAATATAAAACTAACAGTAAACAGAAGTCTGTGTATCTCAAATCAGTTTAAGCAAAGCTAGATATAGATAATATGAAAGTCGTAACATTTCTCAACCTCTATGCACATTAAATTATGGTCATAAACTGTTACTGGTTATATCCATATTATTGTTCTACTATCTTTCGACCGCGACTCCGTCCGCGTGGAATAAAAAACAAAAATGAGTAGACAATCAGTTCTTCCAGTCTATCCTCTACATCTATACAAAATTTCATCGAAATCCGTTCAGCAGTTTAGGCTACAAACTCTACCAAACATCTATCTATCCATTTTAACTTTCGCATTTATAATATTAGTATTATTAAAATATTACCTATAATTTTGTTTAAACTCCTGTGTTCAATATAAACCCCATAGAGACTAATCGATATTATGATAGATGAGTCTGTACGATCCGTGGAACTTAGTTGCGGGATGCAGTCGCCGCAAAACAATTTCCAATTACTATAAATTCACTATTAAACCTAGAAACCGTTCGGGCAGATGTTACCATATTAATAAAGTTATTTTAACGATTATTACAAATATGTAATTAAATGTTGTGGTTAGTTATTGTTATTATAGATTCTATTTAATAAAATCAGTTAACATATACAAGAAAAATAGATTAAGACGAGAATATAAATTGTACTCTTTCTTAACCGTCTTATTTATGAAATTATAGATGAATGTGAGGATTAACAATGACTACTTTTTGTGTGAAAACTAGCTTTCTCCCGCGACTTATCCGCGTGAGATTAAAAAAAAAACAAAATCAGTAGCCTATGTGTTCGTCCAGACTATCCTTTATCTTTACCAAATTTAATCGAAATCGGTTCTGCCGTTTAGGCTACAAACTCTAACAAACATCCATCCATCTAAACTTTCGCATTTATAATATTAGTAAGATAGTAAGATTATTTTATTAAATTCTTTCGTTTATTCAGTTCAATTTTCATACATTTGATAAAGGTAATAAGCAAAGTATACATCAAGTATTATTTCTTATTTAATTTAATACATACATTCATTTTAATAAGTTTTTATGTTAAGTCTACGTGGGATGAGACTATGTTATATTAAAAGTGTGCTTTTCGTACAAATGAAGTTACATTCTTTGACCTGTGACGCGGTAAATTAAGACACGTGTATGAACACGTCAGTTGACGCTAGAAGTGTAGTTAATATTTTGATTATTTTGAACACATATTACTAACGATATCTTAGTATGCTATAAAAAATATTATTCGAAAGAGTATGTACTTTGTAATTATTTTTTTTCATATTAGAAGTTTTATTTCATAAATTGTCATATATACCAGTAACAAAAATATAAAAGTAATTAAAAAAGTAACAATGGTGTCAATGACCTAAAATGTTGCCTAAAAATTGCGTTCATAATACGACAGACTATCAACAGGTGAGGGATATAGCGTGTGGCGTTCAGGCAACTGACCGGAGCCAATGAACGAGTGATTGATGACCGGAGGACCGAATGAACGATAATTATGACACGTACATCACGATGGCAGGATTTTTTGAGCGATTAACTACCGAGGGAATGATAGAAACATTTACTAATTCACTTTTTTAGTACATTTTAACTCTAAGGTTATTTTTGAAAAAAAAAATTCGTTTAATTTACAAAAATTAAAATGTAAATAACAATCGTTAGTTCTAGCTAAGCAATTTAAATGTATGTATTGAATATCGATCTTCCCGTAACTAAATAAAAGGTTTGTCCGTTTGTAAATGAGATTGGTGTTCTAAGCTACGCTAAACTAGTTTCCAACTACTCGAGAAGAGGTCCAACGATGTTTGAATGAATTTAAATCAACATAGACCCTCTTATCCTATGGTCAAACCAATTAGTTAATAAAATTTCGTAGATATCTTCGGAGTTATTAATGCATTATTGATCAACATGATTTAAGAATAATTAAGAAAAATACACCGTTTTGCAATTACAATTACAAGTATATTAATGTCAAAGAAATTAACACATTAATCCACTTTTTTACAAAAGTAAGCTTTTAGATTAAAAAAAGCTAAAAGAGAAATCACACTCAATTTTATTTTCTCGGAAAAATAACAAAGGAAATGCCCTTTCATCTGTTGCAAAAGTAACATAAAAAGTCTTGTATGAAACGGCAAGCTTTTCACAAAGTGGACGGACACCATGTGCAGCGAGATACGCTTGTAAATAAAACATAACCGAGTACAGACTACGGAGATTGTATACCGAAACAACAGTTCCTTACTGAATGTGAAATTCCGTGAAGTTTACTAAAGGAAATTCTCCAAAGCCTATACGCGATGTTGTTTGAAAGTGAAGTAATTTAAATACATTTTATCTCCGTTCGTTTTTAAACATTTTTTACGGTTTAATTATTTTAGACATTGTAATTAATTTTAATATTCAATATGACGCAAAAAATGGAATATAATTAGTTACTAAAATGAAATGAAAAACTAAAACATTAATTGACAGAAAATAATTAGACCTGGAATAAATCTTCCAGTAAAATTATTATATTATTTAGACTAAATACAATTTTATTAGTCCTGTTAAGTGTAAATTAAGGTGTGTTTTGGTTGTGTTAATTGTGGTTAGTGCTACGACGCGTAGCACTTGTAGCGCTGTGTAGGCGGTCGTGTAGCACGTAGCGGCTCACCGTGACATTGCTTTGATCAGTCGAGCGGGAAATTGCATGGCGACCCCATAGACATAGCCGTAAAGCAGCATGTAGTGCCGTTAACACTGTAGTAATCGACATCTTTATTATAAAACAGAACCATAGTAAAATTCTATAAATAATTCTTACATAATTTAAGCTATTTTAAGATAATATTACTTTGTATGTATTTGGATATTAACTTTTTAAATTTTAAAAGTTCATGATATAGTATGGCAAAATATTTTTAGTGAACGGTCACTGGTACAGTCTATTTTTATAGAGATAAATTGAAGCTTCTAAATTATTTTCTTTTGTAGTTTTTACACAATAGGGTATTGTTGAAATTCAAAATATTCCCACAATGAAATTGATGAAAAAAAAAAAAACAACTCTCATATGGAAATAAGTACTTAACAGATTTTTATTTGATACAGAATGAAACGTAAATCATGCTTAAACGCATAACCATAAGTTTATCTTGTTAAACTGTAGTCGAAAGTAAGCACGTCTGTGCGGTAGAGTAAGTTTTCCCCGACCAAGCTTTCAAACGCTTAAGGTAGACGCGGCGAATAGGGGCGGGTCAAGAAAACTTTAATTGGTTGTCAAAGCACCTGGCACTCATAACTTTCAATAACTAAATCTGTCAAAGTTTATTAAGGTATATACATGTCGGCTTGAGCTAGCACGATATCAGAATTACTACTATTCGAGATCACATGTGGGCGGCCATGGGTAAAGTTGGATTCCAGGAACACATTCACAATACTCCTGTCAGGATATCATCGATCTACCAAGCTCATATCGTTCAAACAATGTTCTCGCAACGATCCCTATTTTCAGAATAATCTTAGTTCTCACGAAAATCGGTTAGCGGCGCTCGTGTTCTAATTATGACTTAAATTCAAATTGATTTCTTCTTCTGATTGCGACATACATATTAAATGTATACTGTGTAATCATAATTTTTGTATTAAATTAAATTGTTTTAAG